AGCCATTCCGTGGGCGAAAATGCACATCGTCCGAGCGAAACCAAGTGACGAGGGATAGGCGACACGAAGGCGACGGCAGCGCAGCCATTCCGACAGGTATGTGGCCGATAGACTTTCAGTTCAAAAAGTATACAGAAATATGATTGTAAAAAGGAACAAGACTCTGCCATTCCAATATTACTTAGGGATCTAAAAGGCAGGTGATGATCTTTGATCAACAACCCGAAATGATATATAACATATAAAAAAGTTCTTGGCGGATTTACAAAATAAAGGAAACTCCTAAGAAATGTCTAAAACACACCCAGCAGAAGGCTCTTTCATGGTTAGGCATACTAATAAAATGCACACACACATATTAGTGTAAATGGATTATGAAGCGAGAAAGGTACAGAGGAACTGGACAATACTTTTGGAGAATCATGAAGCAGACTTTAACTGACTGAATGAAGAGGATTTTCTCGAGGGAAAAAAAGAAATCGTTTCTACACACGGAGCAGACACTTCATCTCAAAATTAAACAAAATGAAGTGCGTCCTAAATGTCAAATACTATGGTAACAGTGAATGCAAATTTGAATAGTATTTTCGTATATAATACATGTTAAAACAAAAGTTATTATACGACACTAAAAGCTTTGGTTATTAATGAACAATGAAGCTACTTGATTCCTCTATCTTACTCATTTTCTATCTACATATAACGGAGGATATGCTAATAAAAGTCGATTACACAATCAGAATACCTCAAAAATGGAAATACTTCACATAACCCCGAAATTGTCTTTTGACGGAACTCCTTGGCCAGATATACTGGTCTGTTTTCGTAACCAAACCTAGAATTTCAGACTAGCTCCAGAGGAAATTTGCCACAGTTTCATGACGTCTCTATAGTAAACAAACTGCCAACGATAAAATTCATTTGATTTTGTTGCCGCTTATAGATTATGTTATAAACTAGTAAGTTGTCACCATATGTGTGCCGACCAGAAGTATTAACTGGAGTATAATGACAGCTTTATTATGCTCAAGAAGATAAATACTAGCCATTTATTATGGCATCCGTGGATGTTCAAAGTGCGTTTTTTATTTCTATTTGTTATTTCCAATCTAAACCCATATTTTGAAACCTATCTTTACTACGAGCAGTAGATATTATCCTTACAGATTGCTGCTCTAAAGTGTGTAGACTTCTTTCGCTTTTTTTAGTTAATCATAAAGTTTGTGCTACATATGTAGATGATTTTTATTTGATTTTATTTTTTATTATTATTATTATTTCGTCTATCTCCTTTGGCTAATGTAAAAGGAATGTAAGATTTCTTCGTCGGCAATTTCCCTATGGTTGCTAACAGCGCCGTCTCTTTTCTTCCGCGAATGATTCGGTCACCCACGATACAGGGGAATGAGTCGTCTCACATTACGGTAGTTTGTTTACATTGACAGCAAGATGGATGTCTGGACTGTTTTAACGAATTCGACAAGGCGAAGCAAACCAAACCAAACTATATTTTGCTCGCGTTTTTCGTCAAAAATGCGCCTATAGGGAGTTGTGATTCCTTTAGATAAAAATGTGTTGATAGAATAGACCGTAATCAACTTATGTTATTTTTTTTCTTTTTTTTTTTTATCATATTTTAACAAGCCCGGTGTGATCTCTGGGATGTTAGTACTCTACACTTCTTTTCTCCTCTCATGCAGTAATGGTCTGTGTTTTACATGCGTTGACCACATGTGAAATAGTGACGCATTCCTTCACCTTTTCTGATATGTTTACCTGAAAAATCGAGATAATGCTTACCACGTGTTAGATGAAGTGTGGGTTGCAAGAGCACTTTCCGGGAAACGTTTAGTGATAAAATTCTGACGGACAATTACATTCTGCTAACGAATAATAGTTAAGATTTGACGCTGTGCACCTGCGGTTTTTGTGTCGACATTCTCTCTCTCTCTCTCTCTCTCTCTCTTTATCGAGACTACACCTTTCATCACGAGTCACAGTTGTCGACAAGTCCTCGCTCCGGACGGAAGTACAGAGCGCCATGGATCCGAGGGGCGCCTTCCTGTTCCTGGCGGTGTCGGCGATTTGGCTGAGTGGGTCCGTTCGCTCAGCGGCTTTGGTAGGAGTCCTATTCTTCTCGTTCTTGGCGGCCGATCTCTTTTGCTTGCGGTTTTAAGTCATTATTTACTGTAATCGCTTTGAGGCTTCTGTCTCATCGCTTTGGCTTAAGCCGATCTCCGTTCATATCCTGCAGAAGCAGAAAGATTGTTTTCTTTCACTCACTTTTCATATACAAACGTGTGCACGCAAACGGAAGTATTACAGCATTATATATATATTTTATGTATATACATATATATGTGTATATAAATATGTATACACATATATACATATATACAAACATGTATGCTGTATGTTTATTTGTATATATATGTATGTATGCATATATATATATATATATATATGTGTATGCACACACACACACACACACACACCATATATGTATGCGTGTGTGTGTGTGTGCCTGTGGAACACACAAGCACAAGACGTTTCGGAATACACACACGATTGGCAATATACAGTAGAGGAAAACCCCAGACAAACACTCGGGAGGAGGCGAGGTGAAACACTCCAAGAGATCCTTCAAGTATGGACGATGTAAGGGCTTCAGGCAGTTTTTTTCCCTTACGAATTTAAAGATTTATAAACTAATCTAGCGGCCTTCCATCATGTCAGTGGATACAGCACGGATTAGGTTCTTTATTGTAACGTCCTTTGTGTGATCAGCTGCCATTTCGTCAGGAGCCAGTTTCGCCTGTGTAATATTTAGCACATCCTTTATGTAAGTAAATACGTAATCACTAGTAAATCTAGTCGAGTTCCTGATTGATAACTTCGCATTCACTTCTGATTTCTTTATTTCCAAGCAGCGATTAGAGAGACAAAAAAAAAAAAATGGATCTGCACAGTAGCTGCCTAAAATGTAATTTGATGATGTAAGATGCCTAGGTCTACCGCAGATGTAGGTATTAAGATTCAGTATTTATTTATTTCCCCTACCTCATCCCACTAGATAAACCCCGAGGAATTTTGGTTAGATACTGTTTCATGTCGGCATGAATTTTAAAAGGATTGTGTTGAACTTTGAGCAGTACTTATCAGCCTATTTGTTATGACTTACATTTCGTTCACCTGAATCGGATGTTTTTGCTTAGTTACTGACTGTCATTCACAATCTCCAGCACGAAAAAAAAAAAAAAAAAAAAAAAAAAAAAAAGGATGAATCCTTTATGAAAAAATGGAAAAAATGCCTTTAAAATCTGCTTAGATCACACGACTGAACTGAAGGTTGTTGGAAATTCTTTCTTTTAAGCGGTTCCTAAAACCACTACCATTGCTTCTTGTATCTATGAAATTCCCCAAAGATCATGCACCCTGTCTTTATCCCTCTGCTAATGGCAATATTTGTAAATATTCTATTATGACAAAGAGCAATGTTTCCCTCCTTACGTTAGTTTCATTTTTTGTGGATTTGAAACATTGAAACACGTTCAGCTCATGAATATCTTTCCCTGACTTCTCGATTTCCTTCGCTTCTTTTTTTTAGATTGGTATTCCTACCCGACTTCTCAATTCTATATCTGACTTAGATTATAGTTTATTCTACTTCCGCGCTTCCTCTTATCTTATCTCTTATCTTAAACGTAACTCCTCGGTGAAATACAGAATCCCGAGCACATACAAATATTTACATTTGGAGGAAACAAAGTCTATCCGAAGACGCTTGTCATCCTTTCCTTCTTATCCTCGCAGGGAAGAGTTGAATAAATTTTTGTTTTTTAAAGATCGTGTCTCGCTCAACTGACGAAAGACTGAGTCACCGAAAGTCAAAATGAATAAATAAATAAAGTCAACTTCAGCTGTTCATGATAAACGAAAAGGGTGTAAACAATCCTAGACACGTGAAAAGCCCGAAAAACTCATCAGTGTTATCCGTTTTACTGCGTTGTAAACTCACAAAGAGCAGAAAACTAAAATAAAATTTCTCATAAAAAAAACAATCGAGGCTAACTCCGCAACATATATAAGCTCAGTATTTTTATGTGCATATTTTTTTTATTATTATTGTTGGTATTATCGACCAACACATTCTGTAAACTTTATGTCTTCTTGCCATGTATTCTGCAATAAATACTAGCTTTATAATATGCATTTAGAAAAATGTTTCAGCATTGGATTTATTACTAAAAGATGCCGAGCTCTCCTTAGCCCTTCCTCTTAATGGTTTCCAGAGAGGAGATTATGTAAATAAATCATAAAATGAAATTTCAAGTTAGTAATGTTCGTACTTTTTTTTTTTTTTTGGGGGGGGGGGGGGTATGTTAGCGTATGCTGAAAGATGCGATTCCTTTTTAGTTTATTATATGCAATATGCGGCGAGGAATGCATCGCCAATTACCTTATCAAGTGACACGGCAAATATTTCATCCATCTTAATTAAACTGTCCCACTTCGCACCGCAGTTGAGGAATGTTCAGATTTGAGAAGCGTTTACTAGCTCCAAAATAATTAACCTTTTCTACGCCTGGTTTACGTCGCAGTTAGAAACGCTATTTAGCAAACTCTAAATAGCGATATGAATCGTGTCGATAAAAGTCTTGTTCGATGAAGAAAAGTTTATGCTACTGGCTGAAATACACGAACAGAAAGCCTTTCGTTACATACAGATAAACGTATTAGTGGAAATGAATGGTTCTCAACGCAAAGGTTAGAGGATCCATTTGTTTATGAATTACGTTATGAATAGATGACATACTTTGCCTTCGGAAGTATAAGGAGTAACTATAATCAAACTGGAACGCGAAAGTAAGTTTGATGTTTATAGTAGGTTACTATCATCGGCCTGTCATTATTGATCCGTAATCGCTATATTTAGCCGTTGCATAAATGTTATACAGTTCATGCATCCAACTTCCTGATAATTTGCATCATTTCTTCTCATGGCGAAGGAGGCTGATAAGGCCCATGAATGCAGGAGGGAAAGTGGACGCTGCGTTCCAGAGAGGCGCTGCAGACAGTCCGTGCCCAATGTTGCATGTGGAAAAGAGGGACACGTATGTTGCATGAGAGATTCAGGTAAGTAGACACGGACGCGATTCACATTCTGCCTCCATACAAGATTACAAACACATACGGCGCTCGCGCGCGCACACAGCATATATGTGTGTGTGTGTGTGTGTAGAAAGGTATAAATGAGAATGAATATCTTCACAAAATAATAGGTGTATTTGACCGGTTTCGAATATATCTTCATCAGAATTTCATATGTCTATATGTGTGTGTGAGCGCGCGCGCACACACACACACACACACACATATATATATGTATATATATGTATATATGTATGTATATATGTATATATATACATATGTATAATTATATATGCATATATATACATATATACATGTGTGTGTGTATGTGTGTTCGTAAATCTTTATATATGAATATATGTATATATATATGCGAATACATATATGTGTGTGTATGTCTCTGTGCTTAAATAATATATATACATAATCATTTTGTATTTCACCAGTTGTCGGTCGAAACAAAATCGGCAAAAGCGACGGAGCCCAGAGAAATCAAGCGAAAACGAAGAAACTAATTTATAATAAGAAAAAGATCCAAACACAAGGTAAATAAGTAACCGTTAATTGAATTCTTTATTCCCTCCTCTCGCTATCTATAGGTATATATATATGTGTGTGTATAATATATATATATATATATATATATATATATATATATATATATATATATATATATATATATATATACCTATGAATAAAAGTGCATAAATTCGCATAAACACAAACATACACACACACACACACATACATGTATATATCTATATATCTGTATGTATACATATATATATTTACATATATACATATACATGTATGTTTATGTGTTTATATGTTTATATATTTATATGTACATATGTATATATATACATATATACATGCACACACACACACACACACACGTACACACAAACACAGACACACATATATATATGTATATACATATATATATATATATATATATATATATATATATATATATATATATATATATACTGGTGTATATATTTTGTGTATGTATATAAACATGTGTATAAGTACACACACACACACACGCATATATATACACATATTGCTTCTGTTCACATATTCTCTCCTGTTCTATATTCATAGCATGGCCTCTCTCTCACTTTTATATCCCCCCCCCCCTCTCTCTCCTATTCAGACTTGAAGATTAAATATAGTAGGATTTCGAAATTATTACTTCATTTTCAATAAATCTAGTTTGTGCATTGTGGATTTTTCTGCCTTAGTATCAACGTGATTGGGTGTTTTACCATATATAGACAGAGATATGTGTGTATGTTCATCTGATGAGGAAATGTTGACAAATTCAGTACATTACGATTGAATTTCATTTCTTATGTCTTTTTCCTTATAAATGTGTGTGTTCATATGTATACACATTTTTATTTGCATATATTAAGATTTATCATGTCACCATAATTATGATCTCTGTTCACAAGACAAAGTATCCCTAAAGCTTTATATTTTCTTTCTGATTTTCCAAAGGCTCCAAGAAATGTACGAAGGATTATGGGAGATGTAAGTCCAAGTGCCGCGGTCATTCTGATAAAACAAGAGCGTGTCCCAACGGTAAGGTGTGCTGTAGAAACCCTGCAAAGACTCGGAGCCAAGTTATAGCCAAGGCAAACGACTGCACGGCAGCAGGAGGAGTTTGCAAGAAACCTAACAAAAAGTGCAAAGAGCCTCTTTCCTTCCAATGCCCAGACAAGGATAGAAGCTGCTGCAAGAAAACCACAAAGAACAACTGCAAATCGAAGGGCTTTGGATGTGTAAAAAATTGTAGGGGAACGACCATGAAATTTAATGGTTGTAAGGAAGGAAGAGTCTGCTGCAAGCAAGCACAGAAAGGGAACTGCAAACAAGTGGGAGGAAACTGTAAAGAAGAAGCAAAATGTAACACGGAAGTCTTAAAGCCCAACAAGCCATGCAAAGATGGAAAGATTTGTTGCAAAAAGGGAAATAATAAATGTAAAGATCTGGGAGGCAGATGTCGAAAGGAAGCCAAATGCACAGGGCAAATATTTACTCCCTCTATACCATGCAAGGATGGTAACGTCTGTTGTAATAAAGAAAATGATAAATGCAAAGATCTGGGAGGTAGATGTCGAAAGGAAGCCAAATGCACAGGACAAATATTTACTCCCTCTATACCATGCAAGGATGGTAACGTCTGTTGTAATAAAGGAAAAGATAAATGCAAAGATCTGGGAGGTAGATGTCGAAAGGAAGCCAAATGCACAGGGCAAATATATTACACTCTATACCATGCAAGGATGGTAAGGTCTGTTGTAATAAAGGAAATGATAAATGCAAAGATCTGGGAGGTAGATGTCGAAAGGAAGCCAAATGCACCGGGGACGTACTCACTCCCTCTGTACCATGCGAGGATGGTAGGGTCTGTTGTGAAAAAGGAAAAAGCAAAT